GAATGTTGGCTGCACTTAAAAGATGGGGGATTCTATCCTGGGAAGCTGTGACTCTGCAAAAGATTTGGGGGTTGTGGTGGATAATAAGTTGAACTTGAGCATCCAGTGCAACACAATGGCCAAAGGGATTAATGAAGTCCTTGGATGCATGATTAATGGAATCTCACTTAAATGTAGAGAGATATTTTACCTCTATATTTGGTACTGGCGCAACTACTGATGGAATACTGTGTTCAGTTTTGGTGCCCACAATTCAAGAAGGATGTGGATAATAGGCGAGAGTTCAGAAAAGAGCCATGAGACTGATTTAAGTAGGGGTGGGCAACCCGTTCCAGACGAAGAGCCACAATAGCTGTGAAGAGCCGGGGCAAAGTTGTTGAGCAAAATAACCCAAAAAACAAAAAAAAACAAATCGTGCTGGGGGAAATAGGTGCTGGTACACCATCCCAGGGCATGGCTGCTTTTTTTTGTTTACAACTTTTCACTGGGTCTTCACTGCCTTGCCCTCTCTTTTGGGGGGGGAGGGCTCAACAGCTTTTCCCCAACTCTTCACTCTGTCTCCCCTGCTATTGTTACTCACAAAAAAAAGCACTGGGAAGGGTTGAGAGGTGCAAGCTCTCGGAGGAAATTTGGGTGCAGGAGGAAGTAGAGAAGGCGGAGCAAGCCGCAGGCTTGTGGCTGTGAGGGTGCAGGAGTTTGGGCTAGGGTACATGAGGGGCTCAGGGCAGGGAGGATGGGAATATGGGCTCAGGACACATGATGGTGCAGGAGTGTTGTGGCAGAAGACTGGGGCTGTGGAGGTGCAGGAGTTTGGGGCTGTGAGAGGCTCAGGACAGGGGGTTCCAGTGTATGATAGGCTCACGTTTGCAGTCTGTGGAGTGCAGGAGTGTCACGATGCTGCAGCCAGATGGGGGCTTGTTGGCCAGGCTTCATTTGTAAATAAAATACTATGTCAAACTCAAAAGGTTTTAGCATTGTCTTTATATATGAGAGGGGTGAGGAACCTGTTTTGAGTCAAAGGTCACTGATCCACAGAAAAGTCAGTCGGGGCCACACAAGTGAGATGCAAAAAACAAAAAAAAAGCTCCTCCAAAAACCCCCAGGCCTCACTAATGTGGCCCCAACTGTGCTGGTGGGGGCAGCAGACAGGGTGCTGGAGCAGGGTACTCATGGGAGTGGGGTGTGGCCAGGGGAAGGGGACAGAGACAGCTGGGGCCAGTACCTGGGAATCCTGAGTCTCAGAAAGCATGCAGGCTGCTCTTCCCCTCCCCTAAACAGCTGGTGCGCTTCCTGAAATGCCCGGTCTGTCACTTCGCCGGGGACTTCCTTCCCCCCTGCTACCTGCCTGTGCAGGGTGTGTGTGTATGTAGGAGCTGCAGGACTGTATACCAGCTCCAACTTCTCAGGATGGTTGGAGCCCTGGGACCCTTATATCACCACTGGACTGCTCCAGGTGGCTCTCAGGGCAACTAACGGCTGTGGGCAACCAATGCTGTGCGCTCTGGGTAGTGCTGAGGGCTGGTTGCCCTAGCCATGCCCTTCTCCATGACGCTTCACCCCTTCCGAGAGCATTCGCCTCCCCCCCTTTCCCAGGAGCTTGGCTTCCCTGCACTCACTTATCTTGCTGAATCAGGATTTTAAAGAGCAGATGCATCCCCTCCCCAGGATCAACTACAAAAAACCAAACCTTCCCACATCTCCGTGAGTGTCAGAAGCCCCAACTATCACTTCTCTAAAACCCAGATTCCCACCTGCACTTGTGATATGCTTTCATGCACTTCTTCCATACAAAACTCTGCAGGATGCAGATAGGTGCTAGACTGTACCTTCAGCCAATTATTGTTACCCCATAGTGCTTGGCATAACTTTACAGGATGTTAATTCTCAACTTTTTCTTTTTTGACTGCTAATAAACTAAAAAGCAAACTGTACTTGTGTGCAGGACTGAAGTTCTGAGTACATGCCAAGTCCCAGCACTTGCTGAACATATGAGCAATTTAGGGCAAAATCCTGCCCTTATTTGCAGGAACTGAGCACTGTGAGGAAGCAGAGCACTGTTGATCATAATACATCCAATGCAGAGCTACCCTACAGTTTGCAGACAAGATGGCTCAGTGTGGGCTATCATTTCCCCCGTTTTGCTGCTGCCATCCTGTAGGCATCCTGGTTTCTCTATCTCACTCAAGTGAGTTCTCTGGAGTTTCACTTGGTACTACTTATGTAAGCCAAGGGCAATTAGCCTGATGTGTGTGAGTTGTTAAGCTTGCTGTTCAATTGTTAGAATTATGCTATAAGCTCTTTAAGGCAGGGACTGTGCCTTTACTATATCAGTACAGCACATGTACATTGCTGGCACTGGTGTAGATTATAGTTATAAAAGAGGAGTGTACTGCTATATCTGAAAGTATTTGCAAGGTGAAAATACTGACCTAGTCTTATATCCAAGTATCAGGCCAAGTCTAGACATAGGCATGTAGACTCTGAGTCGGACTGTCATTTTCAGTAAGGTCCTTTTCCACCACTATGTAAAAAGAATCTGAAGAAGGGAGTAAATATAACAATAACATTTGTGTAGCAGTGGCAGACCGTCTGACAGTCCTGGGTTCTGCAGGACTACCCTGCTTTGACCACTCAAACTCTCTGTCCTGGTTGAACCAGAACCTTTTCCACTAGCAGACCCAAATGGGAGGGAATGGAGCAATTTGCTCTGGGACTGCCCATTAAAAATGACCTCCAAGCCCAGTGGCATTGTGACCTGGTGCACAGGGAGCAGCACCACTCCAGTTTGGCTCAGCTGACCTTCCATCTCTGTCTATGGTGAAGTGGATAGGCCAAATCGGCGTGGCACTGTTTCCTGCTTTAGCCCCTTGAAATGTTGAGAGGTGTGTAATAGTGAAAAGGTGCACTCCTCCATTGTTTTAGAGCATAGAATAAGAAGAAACTCCCAGCTCTGAAGAGTTTTCAGTCTAAGCCTCAATAAATACAATTTTTATCCACTTTAAGGCCCCTTTGTACTTCCTGTGTAGTGAAAAGGGGCCTACATGTAAACAAGAATCAGGTCTCCTGAGTTCAGTGATTGAAAAAGTTACCATGTCAAATAAAATGCTGATCTGACATGACCCATGTCTTCAAGTTCAGGTCAGGTTACCTACATGTTAATATAAATAAATATCATACAAGGATAACATATCAAGCTCCCAAGGTGACCTACAAATACAGTGAAAGGCAGGGATCTTTTTTTTTTTTTTTAAACTGAAAATAAATGTGTGAAGTCATTTCAGGTCAGTAAATTCTGAGGCTTGAATGGCTCCTGGTATGCCAGTTCCACGTTGGCAGAATAATTACAGTGGATAAGGGTTTTTCTGGTACTTCTTTTTGGCACTGATCTGATCTCAGTAGAAAATATGATAGCTCGTAAATGTCTAGTTCAGAGGTCACTGAGTCTCCATGGAGAACTCCCATTATAAGATTACACAACCAAAAAAGAAAAAAAATCATTCACTGTCTCCTTCAGAAATATTCGCAGAGGGGTAGCTGTGTTAGTCTTTAAAACTTAAAAAAAATATGCAGATGGTATCACAAGCTTTCGTGGGCACAACCCACTTCTTCAGATGAATGGATTTGAACCAGCTTTCCTCATGTAAAAAGATCCATATCCTATCATTTCTCCCCAAAGACACATCTTTTAGTATTAGCCTCTGTGCATACATATGCCATTTTCTTTTCCTGACCTTGCATGGTAAGAAAGCTTATATCGTCCTGTTTTCAAGGGCAGAAATGTAAGTGAGTGCTATGTGAAATATGACTAAAGGAACTGCAAATGAAACAAAATGCATTTGGTTTCAGTGCATACTTAAAGCAGGTTTGGCCAAAGTCCAATTTTGGTAATTTTATTCTACTAATCCCAATTCCTTCTACAACTTCAATAGCTTATGTTGGCTATGTCTAGACTGGCCAGTTTTTCCAGAAAATCAGCCACTTTTCCGGAAAAACTTGCCAACTGTCTTCACCGTCCGCTTGAATTTCTGCAAAAGCACTGACTTCCTACTGTAAGAAATCAGTGCTTTTTGCGGAAATACTATGCTGCTCCCGTTCGGGCAAAAGTCCCTTTTGCGCAAAACTTTTGTGCAAAAGGGCCAGTGTAGACAGCTGAGATTTGTTTTGCGCAAAAAAGCCCCGATCGTGAAAATGGCGATCGGGGCTTTTTTGTGCAAAAGCGCGTCTAGATTGGCCACGGATGCTTTTGCAGAAAAGCGTCCGTGCCAATTTAGACGCTCTTTTCCGCAAATGCTTTTAACAGAAAACTTTTCCGTTAAAAGCATTTGCGGAAAATCATGCCAGTGTAGACGTAGCCGTTGTGTTTGCTTCATTTCTTGCCTTAAAGTGTTCTCCTGTGTATGCTTTGGAGCCCAAGTAGTGGCCACATTTCAGAAGTGAAGGTAAAGTGACTCAGTATTTTGAATGAAAGACATGTTAAAACTGCAAGACATAAGGATGACTGTATGAAAGCAGACTAGATGAAATCCTTGCCCCCATGTATGTCAATAGCAAAATCTCATTATCTTGAGCAGAGCAAGGATTTTACTCACTGCCAGCATGGGAGTGCTCTAGGCAAAGATCAAAAGGGTATTTTTAGTTGCTGGGGGTATGATTCATTTTAATTCTTGGGTGAAAGGAGGTTCCTGACATAACCTCCTTGTTTAATTGTAGTTTCAAAATATCTCATGAAGTGTCTGGAACAAATGGTAGGCATGTCTCTTTAATGATGTGTGTTTATAAATAGGGAAAAATAAACAAAATAATAAATGCATAGAATATTATTATTTCATCATGGTGCTTCTGATGGTAATATTAAGTACAGTTAAGCTTTGGGCCCCAGTGAAGTCAGTGGGAGTCCTCCTGTTGATTTCAGTGGGCTTTAGATTGGTCCCCTCTACCATTGTAGGGTTGTGTATTAGATGAAGGCAATCTTGTTTTTAATGATGTCTTGTGTATTCTAGGAAGCAGAATGTGCATACACGCTGTTCGTAGTTGCGATCTTTTGGCTCACAGAAGCTCTGCCGCTGGGTGTTTCGGCTTTACTTCCTGCCTTAATGTTCCCAATGTTTGGTATTATGGCATCCAAGGAGGTAACCTTCCTTTTCTTCCCTATCTTTTTATACTGCCCATATTATATACCATAAGCTATGGAATCCACAAGAATGGTGTAATGCTGCAGTTTCATCTCTTGTCTCTTACTATGTGTTTCTCTAGCACCTATCACAATGGGGCACCAAGCTCAGTACTACTTGCATGCTCAAAGAGAAGTACGTGGCTTAAGTGTTTTTCTGGACCAAGTTCTATTCAGCTGGTCCCACCTCAGGCTCAAACCTGCAGAAGAAGCCAGCACGAATTATTGTTCAGCACAAAGTTGTCTCATCTGTGGAAGACGCATTTATCTCCCTTTGCAAAGTGCTCTGAGATTAATAGATGAAAAAATGCTGTGGGCGTGCAAAGTGTTATTGTTTCACTACAATACATCTGAACTATAACAGACTAAAGGCCCAATAACATCTACCTTGATATTGATGGGAACTGATAGCAGTTGATCTCAAACCAGAAAAACATTTAAACACGTGAATAGTCTTGAGCTCGAGGCATCATTGTGATAGGCGCTGTAGGAACATGTCCTAAATCAGTGGCGGGCAACCTGCGGCCCAAGGGCAGCATGCAGCCCTTTGGGGTTATGTGTGTGGCCCACGAGACATTTTGTTTACTGTTGCCAGGGCCGCATTATGACTTTCCTGGGCCCGAGGCACTTTTGCCTTTGTGGGCCCCTTCCTCCATAAAAAAAAATATTAAAAATTATTTTTGATATAACTTTAAATACTTCAACATTTTATTTTTTTTCTGTTTTAGGCAAAATTTAATAGATTTTCATGGGCCCTAAAAGTTTCATTTTTTTCTGATGTGAGAAAAAAATTAAAACGTTTTCTTCTACCCTAAAAGTTCATTTTTTTCTTCTGATTTTAAAAGCAATTAAAACATTTTCGTGGGCCCCTAAAAGTATTGTGGGCCCTAGGCACTGTGCCTACTGTGCCTAATGGATAAGTCGGCCCTGACTGTTGTCCACATGCAGAGTTGCCAGATTCTGCTGCTTCCCCTCCACGTTGTTCTTTTCCTATCAGAATTACTAAAATGGCACACACTTAAAGCAAGGGCACGTGAAGTGAGGTGAGTGCTGATTGCAAGCAACATTGACTGTGAGAGCCATCCAATCAATTGCTGCTATGGTTCAATCAGCACACCCCACAAATTCTAGGTACGCAAGCACAATTAGCACAACTATCCTGTCCCAGGATAATATCTTGGTTATGCCAGTCTTGCAGCCACTGAGAGGAAAGAAGGCCACTCATGCAGCCCATTCACTAGTCTGGGTTGCTCATTGCTACTTAAATCCTTACATCTCAGAGTATCTCCCTTGGAGAGGTCACCGGATGGATTAAAGAATAAATGGACTATTGTAGCAGGCTTTCACCTTTAGTTTAGGTCAGAGCTACTCAACATGCAGCCCGCAACCTGTTTGTTTGTGGCCCACGGTGCAGTTTGGTTTACGCAGGGATTAATACACAGTCCATGGGTGGGATCCTTTGAACATGGCCTTCCCTGGGAACACTCTCCATAATGACAAGTCAGTATAATGGTCTTCTGTTGAGATGCGTTTTAGTAGTTAATTTCTTGGACTGTCATTGCTCATTAAAAGTGCTGTCATGTGAATGGAAATTGGGTAAATATTGCATGTTATTAATATCGGCAGAACAGACTTAAATGGGGCCTGTGTGTTGTGTAGTCTTGCCTCAATCTTTGTATTCATGACCATCAGTGTGAAATAATCTATTTGCATATATATTTGCATGTACATGCAACCACACTTAAGTTGCGGCCCGTGGTATGTGCTGTGAGTATCATTGTGGCCCGCAGGGCTTCCAAAGTTGAGTAGCCCTGGCTTAGGTCATCATATGTGAAGTGTGTTTGATGATCTGGTTCACACAGATTTAAGCAATAGCACTGACCTAATTAAAACCAAGTTGGACCTTCCCAGCACATATTATAGTGCATGCCCTAAACTTATGTCAGTTGAGGCTGATCGTTTTTAATTTACTCTTATTAAAAATGATAGATAAAAAGCATCCGTTTTGTTAACAAATTGCTTTTGATTTCAGGTGGCATCGTCTTATTTCAAAGATTTTCATTTGCTATTAATTGGAGTAATTTGTTTGGCCACATCAATAGAAAAATGGAATTTGCACAAGAGAATTGCTCTGAAAATGGTGATGATGGTGGGTGTGAACCCTGCATGGTATGTATTAAATACTACAATGGAATATGGTAATTCTCCAGGGAAACTTGGTACTGCAGAAATAATTGCCTACAGAGGAGGGGAATTGTTTTGTTCCTTAGTGGAAAGCAGCACCTTTTACTGCTGAAATAAAATGAAAATGTGTGAAATGCTTTGAGTGTACTATAATGGTTAAAACATTATTCTTTTGCTGAAACTCTAATTATAGGAATAGTCAGGATAAGAATGAATCCTATTTCTAATGCTTTTGATATTCACAATAACAGTGTAATATTTGGAACAACTATATGATGAATTTGTGAATTCATTTAAGGATGACATTTCTTAATGATTGATTGTAAAGATCACAACTGAAGAGTCATGTCACATGCATATTATAGTAATTTGTATTTCAAAAGTATTTGCCGTGTTCTGGGCACTTTCAAAATATACTGTAAAGCAGTCTTCTCCCCCAATAGTTCACAGTTTAAGGTAAAGAGGACAATAGGAAGGGTGGAGGAAAAACCATACTTCACAAAAATAAAATTGAGAGCCTCCTTTATGTACTATTAGACTCTGCTTTGTCATAATCTGGGAAGACAGCAACTACCCAAAAGGATTGAAATTCTCCAACTCATGAGACTATATCTGCCCTACTGAACTGCTACAGTTATGTCATTGAAATGTCTCCTGTCAGCTTCTCTATGCAATAGGAGATAGCTCTTCTGCCAGCATAATTAAACCAGCCCCAATAAGTGGCGGTAAGCAACATTGACAGGAAATGCTTTCTCGGCGATATAGCACTGTCCACACTGGCATTTTGGTCAGTGTAACTTTTGTCAGTCATGGGGTTGGTTTTTTCACATCCCTCCCTAACAAAAGTTTGGCTGACAAAAGTGCCAATATAGCCATAACCTCCGCATGATAAGATGATGCAGTGAAGGAACTGAAGATACTCAACACACATTCATCTCTTGATAATGAGCCAGAGACATTTTATGAAGTGAAAACCCTACTCTTGTCTTCTGAATAAGAGGCTCTGGGTGAAGTAGAGGCCTCCATCAGCATCCTAGTAAGTGTGGATAGGAAATGTGCTTTGTCAGTCTGGCTCCCTAGAACATGAGATTCTTAGAGCCAACTATAAGAAACAGCCATTAAAAGCAAGATGTTAAAAGGCCAGACAAAAATAAATCAGATATTAGAGGTGGAAAATGCCTATTACAGCATCTAATTTTTTCTTCTGGTAGTGCAGAATTATTCCTATTCTCCAAAGCTTTGGCTGTCCTAGTTTTCAATAATTTATCTAATGTGCCTTCCACCGCTTCCTCTGATAACTGCTCTCTTCCCTGACAGGCTTCACTATTAAAAAAAAATATTCCTACTATTTTGCATTTTACTGACTATTTTGCATTGTATTGTGTTCAATTTAATCCCATTACTTTTAACTGTCTTCTTTGAGGCCTCTAAACAATTCCATTCCTGCCTCAGCATTCAGATATTTGTACCTACCTGTTGAATCTCCCCATCTTATTGGTTAGCCAAGCTTTGCACATTAGCTATTTTAATCTTTTGTAATCACCCACACCCATGAGTCCTTTAATTTGGGATGAAATCTATTATTGAATGTTGTGCTGAGGATTGTGCTGGGTAGCTGCCTGTTCAGTTATGGAGAGAGGAATCCTGCCCTCAAGCCACAGAGTGGAAGTAGAGCCCTTCCACAGGCAATAACGAAGCTATGAGGATTGCAGCAGTTCTGCCCTGCCTCCTCCCCATTGCTAAATCACAACCTCCTTAGGAGGAGGTTCTGAGTAGTAGAGGTTCTTCAAGCCTCACCCTCATCCCCATCTAGCTCATGCCTAATTCTCAAATCCTCACTGCAAACTGCTACACAAGGACATTCTCTATATACTGAGCTCCCTACTCCTCTAGGCAGCAGCCCTGCCCTGGCATGTACAAACCACAGCAGTTCCTGTGGGAGACTATAAAGCCACACAGTTGGAAGCTGGGTTTGCCATATTTTGTTCTTTCCTAAACCCCCTCCTGTTTTGTATTGTGTATTTTACTTCTCAAATACATTATTTTGGATGCAATGTCACCAGTAAAATACCGAGAGCCCTACAACCTTGATAGTTTGAGATGTAACCACTACGTTGTATACAGCCCCAAATCATATGATCAACCAGTCTATCTGTGTTTTATATGATCAGTTGTCACATCTGTGCATTATCTTACCTGGAGTTCAGGTTACAACTGTGCCTTGACCTCAGCACAGAGAAGGGGTGAAATCCTGGTCTCATTTAAGTTGATGGTAGCTGACATTGACTTCAGTGGAGCCAGGATTTCACTCAAGAATTTGACAGACTGGACTGACGGTAGGCTCCATCCTCAGGTCTAGCCAAGTTACACTGTTTTGATTTTCTTTGGCAGCCAGAAAAGCTCCTGAGGGCCATGAGCAACTTAGCATGGCATATCTTAGAACAGCCTGAAGGCTGCTCTAAATTATCCTAGTGACTGAACCACAGCCTTGTTGGCCCCAAGACCAGTATGTAACAAAGAGATGGTATAAAGCAACCTTTGCTTTGCTATCAACCACACTATACAGGTTGGATCACCCTGGTCTGACACCCTCAGGGCCTGACCAGTCCCCAAAAAGGGAATTTTCCAGACTAGGGGAGGTCAGGCCTCAGGGTTCTCCAAGGCATATGCTGGCCTCCAGGTTGGGTTCCCCTTTTGACCGCCAGTCTTGCTGCCGACCCCGGATACTTGGCTCAGCTGCCGCTGGACAGGCTTTGCTCCTGGCCTCCAGCGTGCTGGTCAGGCTCCCTGCCTGGGCTGCCGGTGGGGCTCTTAGCCGTTTGCCCCATGGGCTACTGGCCTGCTCATTCTGGCCACTGGCTCTCTGAGTTGCTTGCCTGCCAGTCTGGTTCCACTCCCAGTCTCTGCAACCTCTGCCACTGGGACTCTCTGGTCAGGGGCTTTCTGGTCCAACAATATCCATGATCCAGGACCACAGATGTTGTTGGACCAGAGAGTCCCAGACAGAAAGATTCAACCTGTATTTCACTTGCAATTGAGGATGGTAATCCAAAGGGATAAATTTGGTGACTAAAGCAAACAGGATTCTCTTGTTGTTGTTGTTTGCAAAAGGAGATTAGCTTTATTGTTAGCCATCAGCCACCATTTCACAGAAAGGGTATGTCTACATTAGCCCCCTAGTTCAAACTAGGGAGGCTAATGAGGGTGACTGAAATTGCACATGAAGCACGGGATTTAAATATCCCACGCTTCATTGGCATGTTCCCGGGCGGTCGCCATTTTGGAAATTGACTACCCAGAAGAACTGCCTGTGTCTACACGTGGCAGAGAAGGGTGATTCTGAAATAAACCCCTTACCTGAGGTTTTAACTTGAGGTTTAACTGGTAATTCGAAGTAAGGGGTTTATTTCGGAATCACCCTTCTCTGCTGCGTGTAGTTCTTCTGGGCTAGTCAATTTCCAAAATGGTGAACTCCCGGGAACACGCTAATGAAGCGCAGGATATTTAAATCCCGTGCTTGCTTTGCAATTTCGGTCACCCTCACTAGCTTCCCTAGTTCGAATGAAGGGGCTAGTGTAGACATACCCAAAGTATCATTTGAGATACTAATAGAGTAGGAAAAATTGAGGTTGCATAGGTTAGGACATGTCCTATCTAATCTAAAGACCTATCAGGACCATGAGTGTCATTCCAGTGTTTTAGAACAGACTATAAATTAGCAAGTTCTACAGAAAAGCCAGTAAAACTCTGTATTATCAGTGCTATTAAAAATGGGCAGAGATACCGACCGAGAGAGCATCTACCTGCCCAGGGCCTGAATTTATCTCAATGACTTTTTTGTAGTTCTATTTTTAAATGAAAATGATGTTGTTAGTCATTCAGGAGAGAAATGCCATTGAAGTCATTTTAACTTTTTTAAAATACTCATATTATTTTTATATTTAATATAGAAACCTCCTTCTGCTGAGTTCAGTAATCCTTTTAATTTAGGTCACACTTTTCATCCAAGAAAGATCCACAATGCTTTGCAACCTTTACTAACTGATGGCACAAAATTATATTCATTCATTTCAGTTTACCCACTGTTGAACTGCTGGTGCCTCTTACCATGAAACATGTCCACCGTTAAACTGGACTCAATAATATGCAACCAGTTAAGACAGGAAGTAAAGCAGGCTCTATTAATTTAAAATTATGAACAAAATGTAGGTAAACTCTTGATAAATTCCCAATTAAATTTTGTTCATGATGCTGTGTTTAACACATCTGCTGCTACAGAAAGTGACATAAGGCACCAGTTTCTGATTTACTTTCAGTGGCGGTAAAAGAGTAACTCCAATGAAGTCAACAGTTACATCTGTGTAAAACCACTGTAAGTGACATCAGTGCCAAAACAAGCTTCAGTAACAGTGGATGTGATCTGTCTTTATCTTTCCTTTGAACGACAGCATGTATTGCAAGTGAAGTGACCCTTAATCCCATCTAGGAACATGGGATCAGAGCTGATGGTACATGTCCATATATACACTGCTCTCAGAAGTGTGACTGCAGCCTACGGAGACATCTTCAAGCTAGCTTGGATCTATTTAGCTCAAGCAGAAATAGCAGTGATGCCACAGCCCCACTGGCTAGCAGCTTTGTACATATGTAGGGTCCCAGGAAGAATTACACAGTCCAGGCTGCCTCCAGGCTGCCACAGCATCTAGATGTCTACCTAGAGGACCCCTGTTCTGAGTACTAACCACATCCAACCTTTCTTAGGCAGCTCATAAAATATGACAAAATAATAGACTGAGGTGGTACAGCCCTTAAAGGTTCCATTTCAGCTTGTAGCAGTCTGATGGGTCATGATATCCTAAATCATGTATTGTACAACTCAATGAGGACACCAGAAGTAAATAACATTGCTCTTGTTTCAATTCTATATTTAATCTGTACACAATGTCACAGATTTGTGTGAATAACTTTTCTTTTATATATTAAAAAATTACAATCGAATTAACAGCCCATAACACTGGTGTTTACAGTCCCGTCTTTATACTGAAAATGTTTTCCTTTTATATTAAATTGGATGCTGATTGCAGAGATTAATAGAACAGTAGTAGACTGAAGGGTTTTTCATTTCAGGCTTACACTGGGTTTCATGGTTAGCTGTGGCTTCTTGTCTATGTGGCTTAGCAATACCTCTTCGGCTGCTATGGTGATGCCAATTGTAGAGGCTGTAGCTCAGCAGATCATGGGTGCTGAAGCAGAAGTTGATGCCTTAGAGATGAATTATGCATCTGGAGCCGCCAATGAGGCATTGGAACTTGATGGTATGCATAGACAGGGGGGTGACAGACTTGCTGGGTCGGTGAGCAAGGGGAGGGATGGCTCCGTGCTCCTGTAAGGGGCGAGGCCTTGGCAGAAGGGGAGGAGCTGGAGGTTGCCTCCTGCTCACCACTGTGCTGACCCTACACAGCCCTCAGAGCTGCCTGGGGCATGTCACGCAACACTTTGACAACAATTTAAAGGACCTGTGGATTCAGCTGCCACCACTTCTGTGGAAGTGGTGTCAGCTGGGAGCATCGGGTCCTTTTGATTTCCCAGGTCCCGGGGCAACTGCCTCCTTTGCTCCCTGTCAGTGAGCCTGTGCATACAATTTTGATACTCATCTGCCCTCATTCTCAGTTGGCAATGACTAGCTAAATTGAAGCATTTTATCTTTCCACTAATATTTTACAGAAAGTATTAGTGAATCTGAAGCTAGTGAGTGGAAAGAAAAAACAAAAGACGCTAATGGGTAAACATTATGGATTTCATCATTCAGATTTTAATAATTTGTTTAAGCAAAATAGTTCTTTTATTACACTAAGGATTTGTTTTCCAGATCCAGCAGTGATGAAGGTCACACTGTCTGCAAGATTGAAAAAGAAAAGGTATTTAAGATATGAATATTTTGAGGAAAAAAATCTTACAATTAGTACACGTTAACGTAATTTTAACCTACACATTTAATTTAGTTGATTTTTATATTTAGTTGATTTTTATATGTACATATAGATAGCGAGAGAGAGATGACATGCAGTTTTTATTATTGTTACTTCATTTATTTGAATGTACATTGTACTTGGTTCTATGTAACATTGTCACTATCTAACATTGTCACTATTTCAAATGCTGACAAATCAGTTCAGAGATATATATGATCTTGGATTAGGGTACAAACTAGAGCCCCACCCCTGCAAATGTCCATATATTGCTTAACATTGCACACTTGGGTAGTCCCATTGACTTCAGTCTAATTACTCCCACACATAAAGATAAGCACATATGCCACCCTTGCTTCTGCACTTCTGCCTTCAGAGCTGGGCATGCAGAGAGTGACAGCTTCTGACTGAAGGCCCAGCTTTTCAGGCAGCAGCGCAGAAGTAAGAGTATCACTACCATAACCTCCCCTACAAAAATCTTGCAAACCCTTCCGCCATTCCTTTGTGGGTAAGGACCCCTACAATTACAATACCACAAAATTTCAGATTTAAATAGCTGAAATCATGACATTTATCATTTTTAAAATCTGATGACTGTGAAACTGACCTAAATAGACTGTGGTTAGGGCCCTAACCAAAGTCCTAGACACCAGCATATACAGCATATGAAATACTCCTAGCAGATAAAACAGTATTATATAATGCTGGGAAATCCTGAAAGCTGATTGCTTCTTAAAGGCACTGGTTTTTATAGAGAGTTTATAATATCAGATGAACCCTTCTTATACATTAATCAATATGTATTCTTATTGAGCAGAATCTGCCCCCAGCTGAGACTGGAAGGAGATACAGAAACCAGAAAGACCACATGATGTGCAAAGTGATGTGTTTGTGCATTGCTTATTCTTCTACCATTGGAGGGCTGACTACAATCACCGGAACATCAACAAATTTGATTTTTGCTGAGCAGTTCAATACGTAAGAAGACATATCAAGTTATTTCCATACCTGTTACCCAGAAGCAGGGCCGGATTAAGGGGGAGGAGGGGGCTAGTCGGGTCGCTAACCTATGGGGGGGCGCTTGATGGCAGCTGTAAGGTGTGCAGTGCGCCGGGGGGGTGCATGCACCATACACCCAGGGGCAGAGCTGCGCATGCATCACGCACCCGCTGCCCAGGGCACAGGAATGGCTTGAGCCGGCCCTGCCCGGAAGTCAAAATCCTCCTTTTTGTACTCTTAACTGGTTCCCCCCAAGTGTGTTATAGTCTGAAGCTTTATATGTACTATGAATTGGCAATGCCTGGCATTATACATTATACTTATTATAATGCCTGGCATTATACTTTGTTCTTTTCCCATAAGACATACAATGAAATTCCAGAACGATGTCTGAGTTGTATACATGTAGTTGCATTGAGAAAGGTTGCAAAGACTCATCCCACAGAAGCAAAATTATGGCCAGATTCTGCCATCCTTCCCCAAAGTGAACAATAATTTACTATATTCATGTTCCCATTGAAACAGATTTATTCAAGGAGTTAGGTACTACTCAATATAAATACCAGAAAGCAACGGCATGATATCTGGCCCTACCAAGCTGTTGCTTATTGCTAAATAGAATTGAAGCTAAATTCTAAAGCATCATTTTATCCTCCTGATACTATTTGGCATCTCTCTGAGTGAGGTCAGTGATCATTGTGTCAGTTTTACTTTGTGTTCTAAAGTTCTCTTGTTATCTAATAGGATTTGTAAGTACTAGGTATAATGTCCAATTGCCCCTGTGTTTCGTAAAAACTGGTATAACTGAAAATTGAACGTTTGCAGCAGGAACGATATCATCGGATATGTTTGCCATTACTAAAAATAAACACATAAAACAATTATACAATGTTTTAAGAGCAGCTCCAGTACTAAAGTAGGAAGGTAGGTGGGTAAGTTTGCCATAGAGCATGGGCAGAGAACCTAAGGCCTGGGGGCCGGATGCAGCCCCCGGCTTGCCTAGAGCCAGTCCCTGAGGCTCAGGGCTCCCCCCCCCCCATATTGGGGAGCCCACACTGGCACTCCAGCCCCTTCTCTCCCATCCACCCCATGAGGCTGGAGCATACAAAATCTACTAACCTGGGCCCCCCAGGCTCTGGTGTGAGAGGGGAATGTGGGAAGTGTCTTTCTCCTTCTCAGTCAGGAGCCAAGTGAGTGAGGGCTTGTTTTTGTTTATTTTGCTTCTTACTTGTGTGTGGACCCCAACTGATTTTTCTGCAGGTTCCCCACCCCTGCCATAGAGCATGTGTGACTTCCATTCTTCATTGTTCCATCAGCAGCTTTCAATTACCTGAAGGGGGAGGGGAAGTCCAAAGAGACTGGAGAGAGGCTATTCTCAGTGCTGACAGATGCCAGAAAGAGGAGCAGTGGTCTCAAGTTGCAAGTGGGGGAGGTCTAAGTTGGCTATTAGGAAAAACAATTTCACTAGGATGGTGATGAAGCACTCGAAGGGGTTACCTAGGGAGGTGGTGGAATCTCCATCCCTAGAGGTTTTTAAGTCCTGGCTTGACAAAGTCCTAGCTGGGATGATTTAATTGGGGTTGGTCCTGCTTTTAGCAGGGAATTGGACTTGATGACCTCCTGAGGTCTCTTCCAATGATTCTAACAGCATGCATCATACTCCACAGATGTGTACTATTTTTCTAACAATAAGAGTTTGTTAAATAATGATCTTCCAGCATTGAAACAGCTCTGAAAGCATGCATAAGTACGCTGTGTGGAATATAAGATCCAACAAAACTATCTGAAACCCTTCTCATTCGGAACCAGTATATGACCCTTACTGCATACTTAGGCAAAGAAATAAGGAGGCTTAAAATTCTTTTATTCCCCTGATCTTACTACTTGTAACACCCATAGCAAAGCAGAGGGGAGAGTAGCCACTAACGGGCAG